AGCAGTGCCCTGCTGTTGATTGATGAACTGCTTCCTCAGCTGTTTGTTACGGGGTGGTTAATGAATGAACAGGTTACAGGTTTGACTTCTTAAGGGGGGGGGGGGTAGGTATACACAAATGGACACAAAGAACCACATTATAAAGCTGGTCCCTTGTACAGTCCATACGCAAGGCAGTACATGTGACAGTGACATGTCTTAAAATTGAGAAGGTAATCTACAGGCTTCAAAAAAACCTTTAAAGGAATGTAGCCACTAAATGCTCATCATAAATGTTTTCAGTTACTACTTTAACTTGGCTTTAATTAGGCAGCAGACTGGATTCAGGCGTGGGGTAAATGCCTGTAAACGGCAGCAGGCTACTACAGCTACCCCTGAGATTTAAGACGATACCGATAGAAAATGAAGCCAAGACACCTGTGTAAAGGAACCTGTCCCTTGCTGCATAATTCGTTATCTTGCACCATCTTGTGAGAATTTCTGGCAATTAACAGCTTTTATTTTTGATTTAGTGTTCTTGGACTTAACATAAGGGCCAATGGGCTATTTTTCATAATTCTTAGATCCATAAGAGCTAATGTACTTCTGATATTCCTCCCCAGACAGCAAAAATGCTGCTCACCCATCCTGACACGGTATTCCCCAAATATCTAATGTTACAATTGCTTTGATATTTTGATATACACTCCCCAAGCCCTAAAAACCCAAAGTGAGAAGTGGTAAGAAACACTCAACATCGAAGTCAAATAACCACTGACAGAATTTGGCAAGAGTTCCTGAGATTCACAACCCAGAATGTGGTTTAACCCATTCCCACCTTCAACAAAGAATTAAGGTTCCCCCTGTGTAATTTTCCAATGAGAAATGTTTTTAGCCAAACAATCAAGAGTAAATAAGACCATAATTCCAAACAGCCCAGTATTTCTGTGAGAAGTAAATGAAAATAAGCAGGGAAGTTAATCTTCAACAGCCAGTCTTGGAAACAGGACAATACCAATAATTAAAATCAATTAATCCTGGGATTAGAAAATCCATTGCAGGAAGTGCATGTTATGACAACCAAACTGCTTGACTGTGTTAAAGGAAGTGATCAGAAAGGGGACCAGCATTATAATTTAATTCCCTTTCTCGCTAGGCATATTTAAATCCTTAAAGAACCCACCTGAGATTCAGCTTGACATTATAACCTGATGGTACAAAATGCTCTTTGTGTAAAAGGAGTTCACTTCCACAACTAAGTGCTCTACAAAACGCATACCAATAGGTTTGCAGCTGAAATGCCATGTTGTCAAAATCAAGGGAGGACAGTGTTTAAGCTCAACAATTTCACTGAAGTGGAATAGGAGTTTCAAAACCACTGAAACTTAATTTGGAATTGTCCGATTACAATACTCTGTATATACATTACATGTAGCCTTTACAAACACCCAAACAATGAAAGCATCAAACCTCAATTTGTTTGTGAATACATGAAGCCTTATTAGTGGGGAATGCTTGGTTACAGCTGCAGGAAAGAAGGCATTATGTTTAGCGCATGAATCAGTCATATACTTTTTATTAATAAAATCTTCTGGATAATGATAGTTTTCTTCCCGTTGCATTTTTAGCCCATCCATTACTTTCATGTTTAAAGGCTGAAAGCTGCAGGTTTGTGATTAGCCTCCCCTGCATGTTAGGAAGAACGCTATGAGGTCTGGCGTTGAGAGCAGTCCTTCACGATGGGTACTTAACAGAGAAGCAAGAGCAGGGGTTTCCAGGGGGGTGAAGTTATCCATGGCCAACAGAGGAGATAATGCACTGAAACAGTTCCATCTTCTCTCCACCCCAGCCCTCTTTCCTTCCCTGATTATAGTATTTCCTCCACCCCGTGGGCAAAAATCATGACCAGTCCCGGATCGAGAATCATGTCCTCCCCCATGTGCTGGTTCTCGCACGCCATCACCACCACGGCCTGCTTGCCGGGGATGCGCTTCGCCACATAGTTCTCGTAGTAGCGGCGGTTCATCTGCCGCGTCTCCAGCGTGGCCAGCCCCTGCGGCCAGTTGCGCTCGTGGGCGTTCTCGATGAGGTCGTTCACGATGGACAGGGGGCAACCGCTGTCGATCAGGGAGCGCTTGATGACGGCCTGCAGCACGGCGTCCGGCGTGGAGATCATGCCCCCCCAGCGCGTCACCCGCGCCGGCTGCAGGGAGTTCACCCACCTGAGGGAGGGCGCAGAATCAGGGAGTGAATGAAAACAGAGGCCATGCAGGTAATACAGCAGCGTGTAAATGTCTCAGCACACCCCGCTTATTCTGTAATTTTGATGAGTCACAAATATGAAACTCAATCACTATCACCTAAAAAAGGGGAACTACACAGCTGTTTGATTCACTTCTGCTCTAATACTTCTACAGGCACAGATCTTGCAAGTCCGGCTTCTGAATAAGCTATATAATCAATTCCTGGCATCAAACTGCCAAACTTAAAACGCAGCACTTAGTGGTGGGCTACATTAAACTTGAAATGTAACAATGTGCTGTTCATCAAGTCTTTTTTTTCTTGGGGAAAAAAGGTAAACAGGAGAATGGTCGAATCTTTTTTGTTTTTACATAGCACACAATTTGAGAAAAAGATGCACAGAGCACTGCTGTTCTGTCTATAGTAGACAAGAGGAGAAACAGAGGAAGAAAGGTGGGGAGGTAAAGTCAGAGAGGTAGAGAGAGGAATGGTAAGAGCCACACCAGGTCCACTCAACATCCTGCATTTTCAATTCCAGCATGGGCATCGTGTGACCACATACTGAAGCAAACGCTAGAACCTTAAATGGTGGGGAGTTTAGGCTGACAGTGAGCCAGCAAAAGAAAAGGGGTTTGAGGGGTCGTTTCATTACACACAGAACACATCAGCACAACTGACTACTCACTCAAGGATCTCGTTGTACTCGATTGTCTCCTCCAGGTTCTGGAGGTTTGGGTTGGCGCTGCGAATGGCCCTCATGTACGCTTTCAACAGCTGAATATCTCGTTTCTGTCAAAGGATAAACGCACACATTGGTCTCTTTTCTAATGAACTGCCAAAGTATTGGCAAGCCATTGCACGCTGTTTTTCACAGCTTGCTACCATGCCTTTTTGTACATTTAATCTATTATAAATTATAATTATAACAGTATAAATTAATACCGTGTTAACCAAATTATCCTATCTTAAGTCACATTTCTCCCGCCTCAATTTTGTTCAAAATCTACAAATCAGTATGAACAGTTTGGGCTTTACAATGATTTCCAAGAAAAGTTAAATTTGACAGTGCTAATTCAGAGCAGGAAGAACTGACTTTAACTGCAGGCACTTCAGAGTCGTGGCAGACTGTCTCACCTCATTTATAGAAAGGCTGGTGGCTAAACTGGTCAGTAAGTAAGTGGCTCTGTAACCCATACAAGGTGGGCTTTTCAAGGGATTCAATGCACTGTGAGAAGTGTTGGGTGATTTTATACTGTTGCTAACAGTGCCATGCTGTTTGGTGAAATTCAGCTGTTGGGAAGAGTTAAGAGAACGTTCAAATCAAGCAAAGACAACAAATTAATGTCACATGGTAAAAATGTGTGTACTTCACAGGCTTCTTGCATAACACCATCTCCCCCGACTGCATTTCCGAGAATATAGCACTCCTATTCAAAGCACACTTTATGCATGGAGTGTCCAACACAGGTCCAGAAGAGCCAGCTGTCTTCTAGGTCTTTTTAACGCAGCAGCACCCAAAAAGCTTGCATATGCTGCTAAATTGGTCTAGTTAAGCCAGTAACCATCTGATTTAGCTCATTAAGAGCCAAGAAGGAAGGAAAACATGCAGAAAAGCCAGCCCTATGGGAACAGATTTACATCTTGGCAAAGGGAGACACATAAATAGCAGGACAATGCAAATGTTAGACACTTGGGTTGAACTCTGACAGAAGATGCAGTCAAGCTGTGACCCTGTGTGCCAAATCCTAAGGGGACGGTCTGCATGACTGACCTGTTCCGCGAGCTGGTGCTTGTGCTCTGCGGCGGTTTTCTCCAGCTCCGCAATCTTGGTCTGCTGCTGCTGCACCACGCTGCGCAGGTGCTTGATACAATTGTGGTTTGGGAGTTCGTCTTTGGGCATTTCCAGCCTGGCACAAAAAAAAGAGGATGAAAGTGTACATGTTTATTGAATGCCACTCAGCCACCATTGTGTTGCACAGTCACAATGCCATCATCGAATACCAACACCGTCTTCCCCTGTACAACAGGACTCTCTTCACTTACTGAATCACAGCCGATATGTCCACTATTAACAGTAGGTGTTCAACTTCCTTTTTAAACCAAAACTTACCTTCTCTAATCCCCGTTCTGGGGGCAACTTTAGGAGCTCAGTTTCATCTAAAATGAGGAACCTTCCCGTCTAAATTTTAAATTCACCTTCCTTAACAACTGAGCAATAAGCTCTCTTCTACAGCCTTAGGTCAAACAGAGCAGTTGGTGTGATCTCTCTTTTTAGTTGAAGACCAGCTATTATTGCAGGCTGAATACAAAGGCTCCTACTAAATACTTGCATTTATATTATGTCCACACAGGTACAGGAGTGAATCGATAAGGACCGTCAATACTCTTTCATTCTGAGAACAAATTTGACAGTGCTTGACTAAGTGGTTGAAGATCCTTGACAGTTCCTGGGGCAATGAAAAACCCTAACATAAGTTTCTTTCTAGTTTGAGAGGGGCAGTCTGAACCTGTACTGCAAGAGCAACTCCACAAACCAAAACCACCAGCCAGCACTGCAATGTTCTAAACAAGCATATGGCAGATCATTCTACAAACTGCTTTTTGTTTGACAGCCAATTAGTGTACAAGAGTTTCCTTTCATTTTAAGGAGCTCCTCATTACCATAAAGAGCAGCAGAAACTAGAACACAAGGCCCTTATCATCTGCCTGCAAAAAAATGCTAATTATCATTGTACACAGTGTTCTATAATTAGCTAATCCCTCAGGGTATGTGTGCAAGAGCTATCTCTCTGCTCACTACTCTAATCCTTGTGCCTAACAGTGCAGGCAGAGCCACTCAAAATTTAACCTCTCCTTCTCAAATGAATCACAGCCCTAATCACCTTGGAGAACCTCATCAAGGTATTGATTTAATCAGTGCCTGACTCTGATGAAAATCAACACGCGGGGGGAGGGAGCAAAATGAAACAGGAGTATCAGGTGGCCAAGAGCAGACTTACTCACCCACAGCCTTCTTCGCACATGACCGGCCTCTTGGGGTTGTGCTCACAGTCTTTAAGGTGGGACTGCAGCTGGTCCAGGCGGAGCACAGCCTTGCAGCCAAACACAGCGTTGTCGCAGGTTATTTGTAGCTTAGAGAGCATGTTGCGCATGATGCGTGGTACAGGGCGCAAGTGAGCCAGCGTAACCACTGTCCGGTCCACTGGGCAGATCTGCTGTTGGGAGAACCACTGGGTGATGCAGGCATTGCAGAAGGCATGTTCACAGTGAGGCGCCTGTGGAGAGGATATACGAAATGAAATGGATAAAGTTAGGCACAGTTTTATAACGAGCAGAATTTCACAGTACTGCTCCTTGGGATCTCCAGTCTCTTCTGTTTATTAGTCGAATTTAACTCATTACTTCAGCTAATCAAAGCTTTTGAGAAACAAATCAAACTGTGGGATAGGAGTCTTTCCATTTTGATGGCTTTTTGTTACAAGCACTGAAATTACTTTATTAGGAAAAGTAACACTTCTATAAACTGTAACTGTATGCCACATTCACAATGATTTCTCTAATTCAACCAAAGAAATAAGCAACATTTGATTTAATGATTGCCCTTAAAGAAAAAACAGTAAATATTCTGTATGTGAAAAACCTATTCATGGTGCTCCTTAACAAGCTTCAAATCTCTGCATTTTTAAGGACTAAAATACCTGCATTATCCCTTACTTCCTGCCCCAATTGAGAGCTCTACACAGAACAGATATGATCAATTGGACTCTGAAAGAGTATAAAAATCACATTCCTGGAGCACTTGAAGAATAAGTGACATGCGCAAATACAACAGAGCATTTCAAAACTCAGTGCAGCTGAAACCACACAGTACCAGAGGCAAGGCTGCCCACCTTGGTAATGCAATAGCTAAAATTTGGAAGACAGTCAATGTTTGAGAAGACTCAATTGGTACGTTTAGCCAAGTAGGACTGTCAAAAGTAGAGTAATTAAAGTTTACTGAAATTGACTAAGCCTTTAATTTTCCAGAAATAGCTGTAAAGCTGACAGCTACTGACCACCAGTGTTCAGTAATGGGCCACTCCAAATAATGTACAGAAATTTTAAATTAAGCAAGGCCAGAGCTTTTGTCTAAGAATGTTCGCCAGCAGAATACAAGCCAGTCATACTTCAGCTGAGACATGTTCTATTTTTTAATAAACCCATATTAGAGACCAATCAAATCACAGAATTTAAGAAACAGCTATATCAAGAAGGATCAATGCTAATAAGATTAAAGTGGGTGAAAAAAAACATTCTGATCACAAAATGCATAAACTTGTTTCTTCTAAGCATTGGATTCCTATCCTGGCTGTACAGCTGCCAGCTCGCTGCGCAAACCTCTGCAACATGCTCAAGAGCAAACAGACTAGACAGGTCTGCAGCCTGGGAGAAAAACAGCAGCGAGCCAGGGTCCGCACTTCAACATGAATGCGGTACGGGCAGTGCATGCATAGAGCAGACTTCTAGAACGAAGAAGCACTAGCCTTATCTGGTTTTCCTTGTCATGTATCCCAAGACAAAACATTTCACTAAGGATACAGTAGCTGCATGTCACTATGCTGGAAAGCTCAAAAGCAAAACAGTGGGGGGAAAAAAAACTCACCTCATAGGCCCTCGGATATGACAGCAGTGACTGAATTAAGGCATTCAGGAAATACATTTGAAGCTCCATATAAACAGCACTCTGCATGACTAATACTGGTCCATAGTCTTTCTCCTAACCTGACAAGGATTAGGACACTACCTATCCTCCTCTTTCTTCATATTGTCAGCTCAGAAAGGCAGTGCAGACAGGCAAACAGGCACATTGTAAAGGAGGGATCTTTGCATCCCTTTGCTCTGTCACTTTGTCCCCTCACAGCAGATCAGTACATCTCTCTCCTCCCCCATCACTCCCTCCCCTCTGCATCTCTCATCACTCCTTAAAAGCTCCACAAACCCTTGCGATAATCAGCTTCCATACCTGGAGTTAAAAGTACAGTTAAATGTTTTTACATCAGAAGATTATTACCAGTAAAACTTCAAAAATGCATCTTGGATTTTCAATACACTTTAGAAACTGTGGTCAAATTGTCTTTTGGGATTCATGCTAACTTTTAAAAGCATGCAATGCTTTTAAAAGACATGTCTGTGCAATGTCTCTTATGTAAACAGCCCCAAGGCAATAGACACAGAAAAACAAGAATAGAATCGATTACAGAAGCTATTTTAGACTGTGGAGTAAAAGATCGGTCGCCATTAAATACCCCCAGATGAGAAACTGTCAGGGAACACAAACAGCCCTAATGCTCACTCAGCTGTGCTCTACAGGAACAATATACTTGGCTTTTCATCAGGGGTTAAAAAACTAGGTAAACGTCAACATCAGTGGCCATTATGCCAAACCCAGACACAGAAAGAGTCTTTGGCTTCAGTTTCATCCAAGGCCTTGCTACAGGGACTCAACCGTTGAATATAATGAATGTAGAATGTATTGATGTTGAAAGGGATGCCAAATTCCTCTAAAAACATCTGTAGGTCTGCGGCAGTACAGAAACAGGCCGGGCCACCCTGGCTGCACATGGTGTTCAGTCTTACGAAACCAGCTAAGATCTCAGTTATCTCAAGATCCCACATTGCAAAACACTACAATTATACTTTTTTGCTAGGATTTTAGCCTTCCAGCTCAGAGACAAATGTCCCTGAACAACACAAACATCTGTTTCAACCTCCTCCCTACCCTCTTTCTGTCACTCTGTCTCAGTGGAGGACAAGCAGGCACAGATCTTGGTTGATGAAACTGGATGAGGGTCCCTGGACAGGGCGAGTCAGAAAATAAAGCTGAGACTAAACAGGGAAGATGATGACACTTCATTGAAATGAATACATTATTTCTGTGTGAAGAAGTCATTTCAAGATTCCAGTATGCTCTTTACAGCAAAGCTCTGGATATTTTTACTTCAACACCACAGTCTTTAGTTTACACAACATTATACATAACTACGTCACTAGATAAATAAGCAGAAATAAGGGTGAGGCAGTTATCTAACAAATCAATTCAGTCATGAATGACACTAAGTAATACCCAGTAAGACCAAAATAAATGACCTGAACTTCACACCTGAAGAAGGCTCCACAGCCGAAATGTTGTCTCTTTCTTTCAGCATGAAATAAACCTTTACTTGTTCCTCCAAAGAAAATGAATTCTAGTTGAACAAAGCCTTTACCATAAGCTTGGGATAGCATGTCCCAACAGTCAACTTCTAACCACACAAACATACTTATTTTACAGTTTCTATCTAAGCACAGACAAAACACTACTAAAAAAAACAAAGTAAGCAACACATCAAATAAATGTCTGTCCCATGGATGCCATCCTACGAGCTCCCCCCTGAAAGGACTGGGCTAATTCAGGGCACAGTAGGAAGTGTGTGTGACAGGACGCGAAATCGCCAGGTGTACCTGCACAGGCTCTTCTAAGACACCGCTGCAAATGGGACACAAGAGATCCTCGTCCACTTCCCCTTGGAACCTGGTGACGTCATAGCCCATGGCGCATTACAGAAACCATCAAACCTGGGAAGGACGGAAAGCGGCAGGGGGTTAGAAATGCCCGATTCAAGCACACAGCAGTCTAGCTGGGTTTTGAATGCATGGTGCAGCACGGGGACAGTGTGCAATACAGACACGCAAGAGAAGTGCTCCTGAGTCAAAGGGTCTCTTCAGCAAGCTGATTTTTTACCAAAGCAGCTCTTGAGCCTTGTAGTTCAAACACAATCAAGCTATGCGCAAACCTCCATTACCACGGCATGGCCAAGGGAAAAAAAATATTCTCTAAATCTGTTCTCTTATGGTTTTTATTCAATTACTACATTTAATGAAAATAACAAATGAACAGCTTATTAATGGTAGCCACTGCAGGGGACATTCAGCAAGAGAATGTGCTCCATGTTGCTGTGAACTGTTTCATTAACCACATTCCAGCTAACATACAGGCCTTTTATGTTTTAGACAGTTTTTGTTTCACATTTAGATGTCAATTCTAAATTTGTTCCGAATGCGAAACCACAACTACTTAATAATAAAGCATTAAATGCTGAACTTTGTATGAACTAATAACCTTATTTGCACTATTAAAAAAAACAAAGTGAAGAAACTATACTCTAGCATCCACTCAATGAATGAAATGCCAAAGGACGTTAAATGCCAGAATTTTGAGGATATATCAAGGCGCCAGACTGTGTGGAGCCAATGCTAGCATTTATAAATCAATTCTGTGTTTGACAGACAGGTGCACAGTCATGCAAAAACAAAACTTTCATGAGGTCACAGCTTTGGCTTAACCAAGATGCCAATAGATACAATAGATAGTTAGACACCTCCAAGAAATATATAAGCAATATCAAGGGGGCGTCTATGAAACCAAAATGCTTGGATAGAATACCTTTGTATGAGTCAGTTAATTCCATGTTTGCCAATGCACTGTATTCTTTTGACTGAACAAAAGGAAAAAATCTGTTGTCTTTATTCACAATGCCTTTTTAGCTCACTTTGCTAAACTCAGAGAAGAAAATAAATTACTTTAGAAACGGCAGCAATATTCATCCTCCGTCACCCTGTAGAGATGTCTGCATCCTTTTGTATGTTTTGTTAATGCATCAGTTAGAATGCTAAAACTAATCACTGAATCAAACTCTTAATACAAAATGAAGTTGTAACTGGATTGGAACGCATGGGTTAGTTTTGAAATACAATTATTCTTTTAAGCAATCAACAAACTTGGTGTTTAGGTTATGGTGCAAGAGTATATACTGTACATGCAAGATCAGATTTCTAGAAGAGGGAAAATGACAAGCACAAGAACATCTACAGCTAAAAGGATAAAATCTCAAGACCAGGACCAAATATTATTCTGGTATAGAGATTTAATTAAAAGCGTACAGATTAATCTGTGCTGTAACCCTTTAGTAGTTCTGCAAGCATGCACAGATCGATCCAATGGACATGTTCTTGTTTTAACCACACCCAGGGGAACCCTGAGCTACAGGGACTAAACCCATGATCACCAGTGCTAACTGATTAATAGAATCAATCTGCTTGCTTACTTTTAGACACCAAGAGCCCTTGGTTTAAAAAGTAAATTTTCATTTTTTACAATTTTAGCACACAAACATATAGTGTCGCCTCAACTTGCAATTAACAGTCCCTGATTTATAAAACATCTTGTTAGGTGACAAGTTTATGCTGAATAGTCACAGATGGGAATGCCAATTTATCCAACATTCAGGTGCTGTGTGTTTGGTTTTCCTTCTGCTTATGTGCCAATTCCAGTTAGACTAAGTAGATGCCAATTAGTAAAAGCATATAACAGCTAAAGAGCTGAAAGAAAATTAAAAAAATAATAATTTGTTATTAAGGAGCCAGATGGAGAAAAAACAGAAAAAGTGATTAAGAACCACTGATGTAGCGTTTACAGTAAATAAGTTCGGCTGAGACTCAAACAGCAAACCTGGTACTGTATATATACAGTAAATAGCACACAAAGTAGTGAGTCACTCCCATGCGGATGTTCCCTTGCATTTCTTATCCTGCAATCTTATACTGTCTGTCTACCGTGCTTCACAGCAGCAGACCATATACACAGCAAACCGTGTACTGTGGTTAATAAATGCAAATTCAAACATTTCAGTTTCTTTTTGCTTCACATCAAAGATGAATACATCATCACAGGAAATACACATCCTGACTCGCGTGTCTAATTAAAATTCTATTTGAGTTAAAGCACTCTTAGCTGTCTAAAGACAGGCATGTGGTGACCGTGAATTAAAGAATCATAAAGCAACAGGCACAGTCAAGTACAAAGCACCTCTGAGAATAAGGAACATGTTCTTTGCTGAAACAGCAGCCCTGCAAAGTCTGTTTGTTCTATTTAACACAAGTTAACACATCACCCAGTACACTGCTAAATGTGGAAAGACTGTAGTACCAGGGAGGTCAATGTTCCATGCTTTTCCAAAAAGCTGTTCACCAAATGCACTGCAAACAGCTGGACTGGACAAAAGTTACATGTCTTTTGTAGGAGTGGTTCCCTTTTTTTTTTTTACTGCTTCACCAGGTAAGGTTTTGGACATTTTTACAAGCTCAACCACAGAGCAGAACCCAAAGGCTACTAGCATAAAACCCTGTTAGAAGTCTTTGATTCCCACATAACATGAAGGACAGCTGACCCAAGCTAGCTCGGTACCTCACGCAGAAGTGGTGGTCATCTTCTATGTGCTAGGTATCCCCCCACCAGTCACATGGGCTGTTCCTCTGCTGCTGGTCTTCACCCTGTGGACAAGACAGGAAGGATTTCCATTATTTTATTGGTAGTAAACAGCAATATAGAGAATGACTGGCCTCCCCCCAATTCCTGGCCAAGCCAAAACCTAATTTTCCAAGGGGAAAAACAAACCTAAGGAACCGCCAAAATAAAAACCCCGAAAAAACCGAACAAATTCCAACCGGGGGGCAAGAAACAACCGCAAAAGAAAAAACCAAGGGGCCCTGGGGAAAAACAAAAACAAAGGAACCCTGTAACCCCCACACACTTAACTGGATGTTTTGATGCACATTTCTAGCTCCGACGGAACGCTAGCCAGTATCACCTGGCTCAATTCAATCACTGCCAGGACTAGAACAATGGAAAATATTACTGACCCGACAACTGATGTCTGTTTTTTTAGATCACTTGCCCTCAGCTTCGGAAGGTTTTAAAGGCCTCATCAACAATATTACAAAAGCACTGAAATAAAACAAAAATATCTTTTAACACTTTCCAGTTAGACTTGCTTGGTACAATCTGCTTCTGTTGTAATTTTTGCCCACCCAGTTAGAAAATAAAAAAAACTTTTACAAAGAGCTTTTAATCCCAAAGGATCCTAAGTGTTTTACCTACAGGAAGGGACCCCTTTCATCCAACTCTATAACTGCAGGACCCACCAGGGAGAGAGTCAGCAGTAATTCTGCAACAGCAGCCCCAATATGCAGGAGCTGAGATAGAGAACTTAGAAATTGCTTCACCGGTTGAAGGCAATAGGCTCAAATTTCTCCTTTTAGATACAAAACCCACAAACATAGACAGGAATTTAAATACTTTACATAATAAATATCAAACCTGTTCCAGGTTTCCATGTTTCTGAGACAACGGTGTAACACAGACTAGAAATTCAGACATCCCCACAGGATCTTCTATTGCGAGTTACACTGTATCATGCCTAACCCTATTTCAGACATTCTAGCAATGTTTATCAGCTGACAAGCATAACTTTGTAAGGTTAACAACTGTGCTTTGAGTTATCAAAGTATTACAGTTTCTAATGCTTCAATATTAATTGCAATAAAAACCAACCGCAAAAGAAAAACAATAACAAAAAAAAACGCAAACCCAACTCTTTTATTTGAGGGAGACTGGCGTCAGCAGTCAGTGGCAGCTGTGTGGGTGGAAATAAAGCTCTTATTCCACCTTTATTAAGAATTCATTGCACTATAACCGTATTGCAGTCTTCATAGCAACTGGGCTAAATATAGTTCAGGTCCCGCGATTACTTCATTCACAAGCTTACAGCCTTTACAGCAAGCTCCATGGAAACATCCAATTCCCACTGAAGCTCAAGAAATACTTAATGCATTACAAGTTCGGCACAAGGAGAAACCATTTACAGTACTTTAGCCCTGCTATGTGAAAACATCTGCTATTAATATTAATTCATATGCCCTACCAAAACAAATATATCAAGACAAAAAACATACTAGTACAAACAATGTTATGGAACTCTTCCATCTCACAGAAGGTAAAAATCCAATATTTGCCCTATAATTGCTGACTGGGATATTCTTACTAGAGCTGAACTGGGCAATTTCTTGGATATTAATTTCCAGGTAGAAGTTAGATGAATGACACTGAGTATCATAATGCATTAACCTAAAACACACCTGCAAGCACCCACATTGAACAATCAGCATCACTCTGAGTGGAGCTACAAAACTAAACTTGTGAGACGGGAAAGTTATTCTTCACACCTACCCCTGTTTTAAAGTCATCTCCTATCAAATACAATGCAAAACAATAATTTGTTAATGATATTAATAATCTTGTAGAAAGAAAAAAATGGTTTGTTGAAAGAAGCTTGTGCATTATTTAACTCCTTCGTCTCTGTTGTTCTTACATTTATGGACAGTTTGTGGTGCTTAAGCATAAATAAAGATTTTAAATCAACCAAACTCATTCATAAGACTTGCAAGTGAAATCAGAATAGCCCTACTTTCCACTTCCAAATTTTTGCGGCCTCTAGCCAAGTTACAATCTGCCAGTTTTTCTAGCAGCTCCTAGTTCCTGTTCGAGTTTGCCTGGTGACCCACTTTCACCAGTGGCATGCCAGGGTGCTCTAGCCTAGAGGATGAAAACTTCAAATCTAACATGTCTTGCCATTACAGAAGCATGCATTATTTTTTCATGCATTTTTTT